TTATAAAGTTGGTAGGTATTCTCGGCCGACGGATAGAAAAATGACCCTAAAAGGTTCGCATAAATGAATTCATGTGTCGATTCCAGACCCTAAAAGGTACGACCACAGTAGATTGTTAAGGTTAATAAAATATTTTTCTTTATAATACTTCTTCGATTTTTTATTTCATAATTTCTTATTATAGTCAACTCAGGACCCTAAAAGGTACACGAGGGCTTTATTTTCGACCCTAAAAGGTCCTTCGAGCATACCTAACATCTTTATAAGGAGGCGTTTTGGAACTGAAAAATGGTGTACATAACTAGAGTGCATTCAATATATCCCTGAAACATTTTGTAAGAATTTGCACAAAATTGCATTAGTACTAAACGATGCGAAGTCAAAGAATTTCATGCATTTGCAAAACATTTCATGCATATATTAAATGCACTCCATTTTATTAGCCACTTGCTTTCCAATGCTCCATTTCGATCTTAGCTTTGATGATGTAACACTTATGAATCCAATTACGTTTTTTGGGTGTAGCCAGCAGAAAAACACAAAATACTGTATGCTGGCTGCTGGCTGCTGGCTGCTTAGTGCACATTTAAGTATAAGTTAGCTGCCTTATAAAATAGTGGGAACTAGCGGTAAACTAGTGTGAGCTGCGTCGGTGTTTCTAAAGAAACAGTTGTGCAAAAAGATAAATTTACCAACGACGAATTAACGTCCGAAACTTCAGTAAGTTATTTCACCTATTTTTTACGGTGTTAAATTTATCTTTTTGCACAACTGCCTTATCAAACCCAATTCTAGACTCAATTGTTTTTAATTAAAGTTCTTTACTGTACATGTATATATAGTCACATTGAAAAAAACAAAAACTTCTTCTTGTGAAAATTATCATTATTATTATTTTAGTTCAAAGTATTAAATCCCTTCCTGATTATAAAATTATGCAAAATATTAATTTATGGGCAATGCTGCTGTCAGAATCCAGAATGTGCAATTTATTTTCTGTTCGCAGAACTGAATGGTGATCTTCAGTGTTCTTAAAGATATCCAACGCTTGTCGGTAGCTGTTTCGTGCATCATCGAAACGTTTTAGGCTTTTATATGCATCGCCTAAGTTCGATAAAGTATCCCCAATCGCTTGATGGTTTTCACCGTACGCTCTTGTTTGAATATCCAACGCTTTCTCGTAACATGTTATTGATTCCTGCAATCGCCCTAGTGCTTGATAGGTATTGCCTAAGTTGTTCAAGGTATCGCCAACCAATCGATGGTTTTCGCCGTTCGCATCTTTAAAGATAGCGAGGGCCTTTTTATGATATCTCACTGATTCCTCGTATCGTCCTAATACTCGGCATGTGATGCCTAGGTTGTTTAAGATATCGCGCACGATTGACTGTTTTTCGCCATGTGCAGCAACTGTGTCGATGTCATGACAGTCATGAGCTTCTTCGTAATGGGTTACTGACTCCTCAAATCTTCCTAATTCCTGACAGGCATCGCCTAACTTTTTCAAGATATTTATCACTAATAGACGGTTTCCAGCTGTTTTGTACATTTCTAGAGCTTTTTCGTAATATTTTACTGTCTCCTGAAACAGTCTTAATTCTCGATATGCATTACCTAAGTTGTAAAAGGTATCGCCAAGAACATTAGGTTTCACACTATGTACAGCTTTGTAGATAGTAAGGGCTTTTTCATAACACGCTATTGATGTCTGCAATCGTCCAAGTTCTTGATATGTATTACCCAAGATGTTCAAAGTATTAGCAACTGTATTAGCAGACTTTCCATTGCTGCAAGATATATTTGAGATATATGTGTGACAGTTATCATCATCTTTCAAAGCGCCCAATATTTCCTGGATATTATTCTTAGATAGTTGTAAAGCTAAAAGCACTTGCAGGGAGTGTTGCGCACACTCAAATTTGAAAAGATTGTATAAAGTTGATGACAATGTCTGCAGAACATCCAAAACGTTGTCGTCTACATCACACTCACTAACTGAATCTGTGATGACATTATTAGTAATTGTTTCTGCAATTTTCACTAGGTGATTTACTGATGGTCTTTCAGCATCGACCATTGTATCTTCTTTGATAGTTGTGAGTTCACAGAGTGCAGAAACCACAGTAAACATGTTCACGGGTCTTTCTGACACCTTTTGATTGGTTAGCAAACTTTGGTAAACAACTTCATGGATGGAAATTTTTCTTGTACCTTCTGCCGATAAAAACATTAACGACGATGAAGAAATTGTTGAAGCAGCCAAATCTCTATTTTCATTTTCCATGGACTTTATTACATACTCGACGACATACTTCAAAGAGATGGAATCTGATGCAAGGACGGATAGGAAACGAAATGCATGTAACATAATCTCGTTATCCATTTCTGTCCGTAGAGCTAAATTCACTGCAGAAATCATGGTTTCTTTGTAGGCCGTATTTGTTTCCCTATGACCAGTTTTTGGCGTTTCATTTTCCTTCTTCAGATCCTCCAGACATTGTTCCCACGTGTATTGTTCATGGATGGTGCGTTTATTTCGCATGTAAACCGCTATACAGGATAGGGATAGTGGCTGGAATTCTAATGCTTCAGATACCTCCATCACGGTTGTATTGTTGCTTACATCTTTATCACCTGATACTTTAGATAGTAGTTGAATGGCATCCTCTTTTCGAGCCATGCCACATGCGAGCGAGACATGATGAGATATGTGAGTGCTTTTGAGAATGGAGTCATTGTCTTGCGTCGTGAACAGAATCTGGCCTTTACCAGAATGCATTTCTCCGCTTTGTGGCAAGTAGTCGTGGAATTTCTGATCGATCACTTCGTCCACAATAATCAGCCATGTAAAATACTTGTTCACTTGACCATTGACAAGAGCCTTCAGTTGGAGGATTTTATCCTCCGGAAGATATTTTGATTTAGAAATTTTGGTTATAGAATCTAATGGACAGTTTAATTTCTTTGCAAAGGTAATGTACGAATGCAGCAATGATTCAAAGCTAGAAGGATTCAGAGTCACCACGAAACTTAATTGTTTGGTGTCATTGTACCACTTTTCACCAATCTGTCTTGCCAGTACGCTCTTTCCTGAACCAGGATTACCAGACAGGTAAACCACTGTGGTTTCTCCATTCTTTTCGCTCGATAATCGCTGCATCTCTTGGTACAACTTGTCAGTCTCTATTGATCGCTCAATTGTATCATGAGAGGGGCGAGGAGGCAGCAGACAAAACGAGTTTGGTTCTAAATTTCGTCTTTTTTCGTCCTCATACTCTCTTTTGATTTTTTGTAGTTTCTTTTTTAATTCGTGAACATTTTCTGTTGGCAAACCGGCCTGGTGTTTTACCTCTTCGATTTCGGTGGTATCAAGTTTGAGAGAGGAGAATGCTACTTTGATCTTTTGGATGGATAATCTAAACTCCACGTCACTCAGCTTGTCATCTTTAGGGTGTGCCAAAGCATTGCGAGTTTCACGAAGGTCATCAACGCTACTTTTCACTACAGCATCAATCTTTGGTCCAATGCTATCCGAGCGCAGTATAGCATAAAACAAATATGTACAATCCCATTCATTTCTGTTCCCACTTGACATCCCATTTAGAAGAATCTTGTCTTTGCCATTTGTTGAAGTCTCCATTGATTTAAAGACATTATAACTGACAGGCGTGTCATCCCACTGACCATGCGCAGTTGTGTATAAAGCATCCCATTCTTGTTTAAAGATCTTTCTCAGACCTTTAGCGACCATATCAAAGACGATGTGACACAGTTTGAAAAAGTTGAGCTGTTCTTCTGAATATATCATTGTTTTTCTGCTGTGAATAAAAAAAACATTGTTTTTAATTATGCCGACCAAGCAATAAATAAAGAGTATAAATAAGTATCGGATTAGTTGAGTTCAATTTGGATATTTGTTGGTTCTATTATGTTTGTAAAGTAATTCATATTTCTGATAATAGTGCTCTGTCTCCGCCATGAAACAACAACTACTTGTTTCCGCTGTCAGTTTTGGATATTGCTCTCGACTCTGTACCTTTTAGCTCTTGATAAAATGCCTGAAAAAATACAAGGCCTTCTTCGTGTAATACAAAAAGTTCTACGTCGTTAGACCAGGCTTAAAGTTAAGATCTGAGTGATGTCGGTTCGCTTTTACTGAAAAGATTCATTTACTCATATATAAACAAATTATTTCAAGCTACTTGAAAAATTGTCGTTTTCAAGTCTACTAAAGCAAAAGAGATACTTATTAATATGCGTGGTATAACAATTGTGATTGTTTCGCCATGTTATC